TTTTTTTTTTTAATCGGGGAAAACCAGGATCCCTGGTTATTAGCTTACTGTGCATTAAGCATCTTGCATAGATGCACCAAATGTTTAAGGCATGTGCCTCCCAAAAGTGGTATGTTCTGCAGCTCTTAGCATGTAAAGACTTTGTAGCTAGAAGAGGGTCAAGACGTTCAACTACATCCAGACAATATAATACAGTTCATTGGAGGAGGGCTGTACTGCAAATGCCAGAAAGACTACAGAGATTAGATGCATAAAAAAGTCACAAAAGGACACCAAAGGCCAACAGTTGAGGTTCTTAGAAACTACATCTGAACTGCAGTCTCTGTGGAGCATTGGTGTACTCAAGCTATCATTAAACTAACTAGGGCAGATACCAGTAGCAGTCTAACTGGAGTAGCTAAATTAATTCTTGCAGTCCTCACTGAGCTCTATGCTACCATAGCTGGTCTGCTACCCCCACCTGACCTGGCTAGTTCATTTATGTTGACATTGGGAAAGTACACACATGGACACTACTCATCATTTCTGCTTATTAGTTTACACAATTGTTTTACTGGATACACGGTGGGTGCATCTACACATGCATTTGATCCAAGATCAGTTCACTTGCAAGTAAACTACTTGTGAGTAAATGCTCCCAGGAAGGTGTCTACATGTGCAGGGACATGGCAGCAGATTTTCTGCTCTTAGCAGCAAACTGGTGACACTTCCTGTGCCCCTGCAATGAGCTCCTGCTGCCACCGGGGGAGCTCGAGGCTCTGGCTGCAGCTGGCAGCCATATTGAAAAGGCAGCACTGCTCTCTGTTCCCTGGCCAGGAGCAGTGTGCACAAAACAGGGACAGCATGTGGCAGGTTACTCCTCACCGCCTCTACCTTCCTGTGCCATGGCTGCTCCAGATCCTGCACCTGGCAGCAATGACCACTGCCCCAGACTTCTGCTGGCCACTGCACTGGCCCTGCTGGCCCACCATGCCAATTGCTGGCTGGCCTATGGCCATCTGGGCCCTCCTGGCTCCCCCATGCACAGACTGGGTGGCCAGGCACAGAATGCTATCCCAGGATTGCTGCCACAACACAACTATGGCCTGGACCCCATCCTGCTGGCTAGACCCCAGCAGGAATACTGACAATGGGCTGCTGGACGCCACCACTGGGAATACCCTCACTCTCCTGGGTCTCTAGTGCCGCTGCCTCTGGGCCTGGCAGACCAGCCAGGACTGGTGGCTGTATGTCATACAGCGCACCTGGGATGACAAGCAGCGGCTGGAGGTGTTCTGGATGACCTAAATCACCTTCTTGGGCCTCCTAGGGCAGCTCCAGCCACATTTGGAGTGGCAGGACACCACCATTCAGTCATTTGTCCCCAAAGACACCCAGCTGGCCCTCGCCCTGCTCAAGCTGGCCACACCTGCCAACCTCTGGTATGTGAGCCATCTCTTTGGGGTGGGAAAGACCACTGCTGAGGAGGCCATCCTGGAGGTGTGCAGTGCTCTCTAGGACATACTGCTTCAGGTGCATTATCCTCTGGGGGTATTGGCAGGGTTTCATGCCCTGGGATTCCCCCAGTGCATCAGGGCCCTGAATGGGACCCACATCCTCATCACCTGCTCACCCCACAGAAACCACCCCTACTACAGTTGTGAATGCTGGCTGGGTGTGGCCATGACACCCATGTGTTTCGCAGCTCTGTCCTGCCAGCCCTGGTGCAGAGCAGCCACTTAACACCAGGGGTGCTGAACCCACAGCTGGGCGCCGTGGTGGTCCTACCCCTCTTCATCAGGGACCCCACCTACCTGCTCCTGCCCTGACTCATGTGGCCCTACACTGGCCAATTGGACCCCCACCAGACCCACTTTAATTGGTACCTGGGTTGGACCCACACCCTAGTGGAATGCGCCTTTGGCCATCTCAAGGATGCTAGTGCACCCTCACTGCCTGCTTTGAGTTGGCCAGTGACAACCTCCCCTGGGTCATCATCACAGCCTGTGTGCTGCATAACATCTGTGAGGCCCAGGGGGAGCTCTTCCCCAAGGCCTGGGTGGAGCACCAGATATGGTGGTAGTGACAGTAGTGGACCTCCCCCCGGTGAGGCAGCAGGTCCACGGCATCTCATGCGAGGCACTGGCTGACCACCTCCCCCTGCCCTCCCCACTGTAGCTCACCTGGAGGGCCTCCCGCAGACCCCCCCCACACCCCTTGCATGCACCACTGGCATGTGATCCTGGCCTCACTGCAGGCCGCTCCAGCTCCATGCCCATGTGAAGCCAGGGTGAACGGTGAGCCTGGGCCCAGGTGAGGGACTGGGTGGTGGGGAACCTGGGAAAAGGTCTGGGGCAGGGGCTTCTGGCTGGTGGAGGAAGTGCTGGACCTTCATCCAGGCCCATGGGGAAGCCTGCTGCTGGGTGGCAGGTGGCTGCCAGAGGCAGGTGGGACAAGGGTCAGGGGCCAGGCTGTGAAGGCAACTGCCAGGGCCAGGATGGTGTCCAGTACCCACTGGTCATCATCTATGGCCTGCACTGTCCTGCTCAGGACTGCAGTCTGCTCCTGCAGGGCCTCTACCCACTTATGCTGCAGAGCCAGGAGCTGTGCCCATAACTCCCAGTCTACCCCATCCCATGCCTCCTCATATTGTTCCTGTGCCTCTTTGTGCCAGTCCCGTGTGACCTTGTGGGCCACATCCTCCACCCACCTCCTGTCCTGGTGGACCACATCCTCCCCCCCGCCAGGTCCATTCATTTGCCAGACAGTCCTCTGACACTGTCACCAGCCAGTCCCCGAGGATGGTGTGGTCCTGGGTCCTCCTTCTGCAGAGCTGGTGCATCCTCTGGGCCCTGGCTGTAGGTGGCGGTGACCCGAAGCCTACTTCCCAGCTCTCAACTGCAGCTTCTCTGCTGTGTGCAGCTACAGGGCCTGTAGAGCCACGAGAAAGAAACTGTTTGTGAGAGTTTGCAGCACTTCTGAGATAAGATGCTCTGTACCAGGGGCCATGTACTGCCCAGCCTCAGATTGTGGGTTGGGTGTGCACAGGTGCCCAGGGACTATGGTAAGTCAGGTGGACAGGCCTAGGCCACAGGCAGCCTGCCTCCCCCACCCCGCTCATAGGGCAGAGCAAAACAGGTCAGGCTCCTGGCAGTACCTGCTGCTGGAGCTGCAGACCCCACTGCCCTCCACCTCCCCCTACAAGCCAGTTGCTCTCCTGTGCTGCCATCAAGCCCACAGTGTCTGGTCTTAGGGGGTGTGGGGCTCCCAGATGACTGGGGTGAGGGGCCCCCACCATCCCCACAGGTGGCCTCTCTGTGGAGGCACCCCAGGGCCAGTCCAAGGGTCCCTCCCTCAGTGACATGTCACCACAGGTGCCAGGCCAGGGCAGGGGTTTGGGCAGGTTGTCCATGCTGTTTCATAGTTTCATAATTGTTAGGGTCAGAAGGGGCCTCAATAGATCATCATGTCCGACCCCCTGCCTTGGGCAGGAAAGAGTGCTGGGGTCATAGGGCCCCAGCCAGGTGCTTGTCTAGTCTCCTCTTAAAGACCCCTCAAGGTAGGGGAGAGCACCACCTCCCTTTGAAGCCCATTCCAGATTCTAGCAGCCCTTTCTGTAAAGAATTTCTTCCTGATGTCCAACTTAAATCTGCACTCTGTCAGTTTGTGGCCATTATTCCTGTTTATTCCAAGGGGTGCCCTTTTCTTGCTGCCCCCTCTCCCCCAGTGAATTTGTAAACAGCCACAAGATCCCCTCTCAGTGTTCTCTTGCAGAACCTGAAGAGATCCAGGTCCCTCAGTCTCTCCTCATAGGGCCTTACCTGCAGGCCCCTAACCACATGAGTGGCCCTCCTCTGGACCCTCTCAAGGTTATCCACATCCCTCTTGAAGTACAGTGCCCAGAACTGGATGCAGTACTCCAGCTGCAGCCTGACCAATGCTGTGTAGAGGGGAAGTATCACCTCCCTGGACCTGTTCATGATGCACCTGCTAATGCATGATAGAATGTGGTTAGCTTTACTAATTACTTCATCACTTTGATGGTTCATATTCTTCTTGGAGTCAACTATGACCCCAAGATCCCTTTCTGCTGTTGTGCTGCTGAGAAGGTCCTC